AGCAAAGGTGCTGGCGAAAAGGAGGTGCCAAGTTTGTAAGGTGATGAGGTGAATGACTATTTCACCAACGATACAGACGGCGAAGAAGAGGGGGAGTAGTGGGCTCGTGAGCTTGCCCGACAAGCAAACCATGAACTCCCACACGGACAGCCTTAGGGCTTTGCACTCGCACACCTGAATTTTTTGAAGGGATGAGCTCATCATCATCGGCTATAAAAGGAATAGTCACGCTGAATACAGCAACAAAGCGCAACCATTGCAGCAACAAGATGGCACGAAATGATTGCCTCACAGAAGGGGGAATTTCTAGCTAGATCCATGGCGGCAACATCACATGGAATCTAGATCCGACTGAAATCAGTAGCACACGAGATGGATCTAAGTGGAACATGGCCTAAGGTTCTTCATCAACAACACCTTAACTTTGTTAGTTAGAAGAACCACAACATTACGCGCAGTGTGACTATTGTTGGTCATATATCTAAACTGTTTTCGGGGGAAAATATGCAAAAAAGAACATTTTGGCTAAGAAAACAAATGCAACTTACACTTTTTCAATAAATTGGAGTTGCATTTTCCACTAAAGCGCAATTAACATATATGATTAACAAAACAATGACACTACAGCCATCGCTGTTGGTCACATAAATACATCACGAAAAAAAGAATGTTAGCATCATTTGTGCGTACATATAATCTAGCCAAATCCTACATATGTGACGCGAGGATGTTAAGTTGAAGGTCATCAATCTATGCCAGAAGCACCACTAGGCGGTGAGCGTACACCGATTGGTGCCCCGGCCTGGACAACACGACCACGTTCCATGCCACTGTTGCCGTCTACGACGTTGAGGTGAGGGGCATGGAGATGGGAGAGGTAGGCGGCCAGGTGAGGAAGACGCCGCCCCAGCTATTGGTAGGGCCATGCATGATAGGCGGGCATCCCGGCCAATGGAAGCCCGCCACATGGAGGAACCACTGGCGGAGGACCGTGGTGCTACGCCACCCAGTGAGGTCACCATGGCCGCTTCTGGTTCGGCGGTCTTCACCTTTTACAGTCGTTATTTACACATTTTGATAAAAAATATGAATGAAATTTGCACATTTAGGAAAAATAATTCATTTAACTAAATTAAAATAGTGTTACATGCAAAATTTTATAATTATATGGCAATAAAAAATTAAACAATTTCCTAAAAATATATGAATATTTTTTGAATACATGATAACTATTTTTCAAATATATGATGAACATTTTATAAGTACACTCTAAACCATTTTAATTCATAATCCATATTTTGCGGAAACTATGAATATTTTTCAAATAAGATAAATATAGTTAATAAAACATGATAGCCGTTTTTAATACATGACTAAAATCTATAGAAAACACTGTAAACATTTTTCAATACACGATGAACTTTTTTTAGTACATGATATACATATTTTCATGCGGGGTGAACACTTTTTAAATATATCATAATATTATTTAGTACATAATGAATTTTTTTAATACATGATAAAAAAATAGTACAAGAAGAAATTTAATAAATATTTGAGAATCATTTTTATTAGATCATAAATATTTGTTAATAAATGGTGAATATAGTTTCCACATAAATGTGCCTTTAATAAGGGCCAATATTTTTACAATAAAATTATTTAGTTCTACATGATAACTTTGTTAAGTACAACGTCGAACATTTTTGAAGTAGACAGCACACATTTTTCCAATACATGATGAACATTTCTAACCACATAATGTATATTTCTAATATGCCTAACTATTTTCTTACAATATAAATTATTATGTAAAACATGGCAATAAAAATAAGACATGATGAACAAAGTTTAAGTACATCATAAATATATTTCATATGTTGTAAAAAAATTTAATCACGAAAAACATTATTTTTAAACATGTGATAAAAAAGAACCGAAGAAAAGACAAAAACATCAATGATAAAAACGAGAAAACAGAAATATAATAAAAAATAAAGAAAAAGAAGATGAACAATAGCAAGAAAATGGAAAATGAAATAGAAGCGTTAAAAGGAATGAACAAGCAAAACCAGTGATTGAAAGTACAACGGAGAACAAAATGGATGAAAACAAACTCCAGAAGTAATCCGCACAAAAAACACGCGGAAACACGCTACCCGAAGAAACAGGGTAAAACCCGCTAGAAAGCCAAAGTAACCAAAGAACCCAATATTATAAATATCACTGGTTTTCACCGTTTCCTCGGGGTAGAAATCATGTGCTTCCACAAATCAGGTGATCTCTAACTTAAAAAAATACATTTAAATATTTCAAAAAATTACAAAACAAAATGTGAGTATTCACAGATGTGTCTACAATCTGTCAAAACTTAAAATCAAATTGAAAATGCACACAGTGAAGCAAAAAAGAAAAATCTGAATGTGAATAGCGTCAAATTGTTTTTCTTTTTATACTATTCATGTTGATTTATCTTATTTTTTCTCAATGTATATTTTGATTGGTGGGGCGATTCATCCTCAGCGGGCTCCTCCCAGAGGGCTAAATCTGGCACAAACTTCACTATATTAGCGCAATTATGCTCATGGTAAGTAACTGCCTTATGCAGTGGAATCCTATTTGCCCTTAAAGTGCCCAAGTTAATTAATACAAGTTCCTCCTACTATTTGGCGCAAGAACAAACAACTACTACTTGGCGCACATCCCCGCCCTTTGTACATTTTGAATGGCGAGGAGGCCCTCGATTTTGGGAAGCTTCCCAGGCCGTTTTGGGGAACTTCCGGTGGTTTTTTATTATTTATTGGTGACGGTTTCTTTTTATTTTTCCCTTTCCTATCTTTCTTTTTTTTCAATGCGTACACCTTTTCAAATTTCTGAACTTCTTTTCATGAAATTTTTCTCAAATTTGCAAACTTTTGTATTTTTTGTGAACGTTTTTCCTTAAATTCGTGAACTTTTTCCCCTCAAATACATGAATATTGTCAAACTCGCAAACAATATTTCCAAATTTGTCATTTTTTCATTAGAATCCTGAATTGTTTTTCAAATCCATGAAATAGGTTAACTTTTTTCAAATTCGTGATTTTTCACAATTTTTTTGTCAAACTCATGATTTGTTTTTCATGCTTGTGACTTTTTGTCTTATGCGTGAACTTTTGTAAAATGTAAAATGCGCCAATTAGGAGCTCTTGGCGCCAGGCGCCTAGTACCACCCTCACTAGATCCTAAGTGGGGATGCTGGCCCATGTTATCGCTCCTGCATCAGTTATGAAAACCTTCTAGAGGTTCCCTCTGTTTTCTTGACTAGGTTTTCTCTGGTTTTTGTTTTCAACGTTTTTTGTTCAGTTTTGCTGATTTTCTACCTTTCTATATTTCTATTTCATTTTTAGAAAAAATTCATATTTTTCAAAACTCTTGAAGTTTTCAAAATTCAATTTTTTTTTCCAAAATTCGCGAACTTTTTTAAAAGTTGGTTTATAAACATTTTTAAATCCTCAACCATTTTCAAATTCATGAATGCTTTTTAGATCCATGAATATTTTTCAAATGTGTGAACTTCGTCTGAGTTCACGATTTTGTCCAGACTTCAAGAAAACTGGTTTGCTATCAATTCGGTTTTTTTACACCAAAATAGCAGCAACAGAACCGACATGCGACCATTTTTTTAAGGTAGCATACCATCTTGCCCTGGGCATTCCTTGCATCGCGAGGCGAGTTCGTGCACTGGCCCACTACATGCCGTGCGCGAGCGCCTGCGCGCTAAAACAGGCGTTGAATTGCCTAAAAAACAGGTGTTGAACGCGCCGATGAGGAGGTCTTCTTTACCAGCATTCATATCGGCTATAAGCGGCATGCATGAGCCTCCACACCCATTTGTAGCCTTTGATTCTGTTTTATTTTCTAATTATACGGGAACTAATTATTGGGAAAACTGAAAATACTAGGTGATCATACTCCAGATTTTTTGGAAAACTCTACATTGATAGAAGATTTCCTTTGGAGCTGTGTCGCCAAAATGCAGGAGAGAATCATATTTATAATAGGTGACTTTTCTTTTTGTGAGAAATTTTTAATAGGTGACTTGATTCTTGAAAAAAAAAATGAATTACTCCCTGTTTTCTTTGTAATTGGGCGTTTCCTAACTGAGTTTCGCCTTATCTGATTGGACTCTCCTCCTATACACCTTGTTTTTTTTTTTAATTTTTGTTCAAGCAACCTTTCAGTCTAGCTTCAACACACGCGGCTGCGTGGTAGGAGTACTGAAAGTTTCAACACGATTATGTACGCGGTGCCGATAGAATGTTGGCTAGTTTTTCAGACAAGAGCAACATCTCAAAACAGGTTTTTCCCCGTGTTATAAATAATACTCAAACTGCCGTACAGATACAAGATGGTAGGGAAATCCCAAAACAAGCAAACCAAAAGGAAAAAAAATAGACAGCCAGGGGTAAAATCTGTCAGAACTGAAAGTAGGGCTAAAAAAAAGGGCTTTAGTCTCTTTTCAGGTGTTCATTTTAGTATAACAAGAATGCTAGACAATTTGCACACGAAATGGTATAGCATTGCCTTGTCAGTGAAATAATAACAAAATTAAATGTACCATTTGAAGGTAACACTTCGTGTTCACCTTGTCTTTTCTGCAAAGATTAAAATACTAAAGCTTTCCACCTAAAAAATTACAGGTAGAATTTTGATGTGACCATAAACACATATATTTTTTTGGATTTTTTGACATTTGAGAAAAAAAAACATTTCCACGCGCGAGCCGAATTGGATTTCCGGTTAATAGACCATATCGTTGCGGACGACGCTGGCGAGGGGTGGGTGCGCGTAGGGGCCCTTGAGCCAGGTGTTGGCGATGAAGCGGTAGGGCGCCTCGGTGAGGTGGATGCCGTCCCAGCTGACGTGTGCGTCTGGGTCATCGCACACCGTGGCGCCGGGAAGCCCACACGACGAGCTCATGTTGTAGTTGTACGGGCCACCGCCGCCGCAGCACGCCCTCAGGGCTCCCTTCTTGTACCCTGCAGTTGCAGTTGGCCACAAATCTCGTTATTACATTACACATTACTATCTTGGACAAATAAATGCTCTGTCCTTAAAGTTGTATTCTTGAAAAAAAAAGCAGAGCAGAACTGAACACACACACACACACCAGCAGTAGGAAAGAAGGAAAGAAGTAGGAATCAAATAAGGAACAAGACATTGGGGGTGTGGTTGGGAGGGGGACTGACCGTAGAGGTGGGGTGTGCGTGCGAATTGGATGTAGGGGGTGTAGTAGTCGGCGTAGATGATGCGGGAATCCGGGCGGCGGCGCTGGAGGCTGTCGAGGGCGACGCGGAGCACGGCGTTGTGGTAGAGGGCGACGCCGTTGAACTTCTTGAGGCAGCCGGTGCGCGGGTCGTAGTCGCTGCGGTCCTCGGACGGGTACATGGTGAGCGTGATGGGGATGCACCCGGCGGGGAGGTTGCCCGGCACGAGCACGTGCCGCGCACCCTCGTCGAGCAGAGCCTCGATGCCGCCGATGATGGACTCCACCACCTTGGGCACCATCTGGGTTTTCACCTTGTCCAGGCTCCACTCAGCCTTCCACGCGAAGCTGTAGTCGTTGCCGCCCAGCTCGCCGAACACAAAAAGCGCCTTCCCGAAAAATTCCTTGCACTCTGCATTTTTTTTATATTTTTTGGTGATGCTATTCAGTGAACGTTCATAGAGGGAGCATGGCAAAAGGAACATTTTTCAGGGCAAGAAAATTCAGAACCGATGTATCGATCGGCGTTCATTGAAATACCTTGCGGGGAGGAGCAAATGGTGTCCTTGACCTCTTGGAACCACTCGAGCTGGCAGTTCATGGAAGTGTTGAAGGGCGGGATGCTCCACACGTTGTTGTCCCGGAAGTACTTGAGGTCCAGCGCGGTGGCGCCCATCACCGCGAAGTTGGCGCCCTGGCTGAAGTTGGTGCCCTTGTTCGCCGACGGCGGCAGCAGCGGCACTCCCAACGCCTCGGCTGCCGTGCATACATACATCAAATCAATCACCTGTCAATCATCCATTTCGACTGACGTTTACATGTTGGATCGAGACGGCAGAGAAGGTACGCACCGAGGAAGTCGATGACGAGACGGCCGTTGGAGCAGCGGGCGTAGGGCGGCGGGAACTTGGGCATGTTGGGCAGCTTGCCGGAGTTGATGATGACGAAGTTGCCCGTGTCGGAGAAGGAGTCGCCGAAGCTGAATATGGCGTTGTAGTACTGCGGCAACGGTGCCGCCTCCGCCGCCATCCAACCGGCGGCCAGGCACAAGAGGATGCGCCACGACGGCAACCCCAAGAACCCCCTCGTCGTCTCCATGGTCACAGCCAGGCCAAAGTTGGCCCCTCACGAAACAGTGTGCGGAGGAAACAAGACAAGGGAAGAGGAAATGGGACAGCTACAAGAAAAGGCGTGCTTAGGGGGTTGTTATATAGCGGGGCACATGGATTACAACTTAAGGTCTCTCGTTTTTTCCTCCTCCTTGGTCACGGTGCACAACTTAAGTCCTTGGTCACGGTGCACATGGATTCACCTAGACGGAAGGAGTACTATAGGGGCCTCGACGACGCCCCATGAAATTACCAGTTTGTTAATCACGGAAGCCATGGACTTTCGTGAGGATCCCCACATGGTTCCGAGCCGCGCAGTTTTCCATTGACAATCGCTCCCGCATTACGTGGTGCATTAATTACCACGCTCCCTGTCGATCGTGATCTGGATGCGCTTAATTAGCGCTTAATTAACCAGGGTTCCTCGCTGATTCCATGAAAGAAAAAACAACATCATCGCTGACACTTCTTGCTTCTGGGGAAGTGTACTCTATGATGCACCTTCATGTACCACTCAATGATGAAGAAAAAAGAAAAGGAGAATTCATCTGAGCAGGGCTCCAGGGTTAGAGTCAATGGGAAGAAGGGATCATACGTGGTGATACGGCAGGGCACGTTGTAGAGAGAGGGGCAGCACTCACACTCCCCAGATAGGTACTAATTATTGGAGATTTGGCTATCCCTATCTAGCTACGATGACATGGACAGACACCAAAACGTATCTCCCCCCATCATTTATTGAACGATAACAGGAGAGCTGTTATATCATTGTAAAGAAGAAGATGGTACAAGGACCCACACTGCTCAGTTTATTGAAGAAAAGACCGGGCGAAAACCTGAACAACGGCAAACTTCACCTAGCAAAAACCAAGTCTAAAGCACCACAACACATACGAAACGCCGGCGAGGCCAACAACACACAACACACACGGCCAGGCACTCGAGCGCCCGCTTCGCCACTACCAAATTAAGTGCACACCGCACCGTCGCATCAATCCGATCCGGCACAAGCATATTGGTCAACCTCACCGCCACTGGAGAGGGACGATATGTCCGAAAGCAGGCAGACATATGCCGTTCCGATCCCACGACGATGACTAACATGGCTCGTCCGATCCTCCTCACATGTGGGGAGTGCTCCTGTGCTGCCCCCGGTCGGCCAACGGCTAGTCCACAAACGCACCACCGCAGGCTCCATGTCCATCCACCACCACCGGCTGCTCACCAAGCCACAACATCACAATCGAGTCATATTGCTTCTTCCATTGACGCTTACCTACCTGTACAACGAAAGGTGTATGTCCTGGTAGTAGTTTTTAGCTGGGCGACATGAGCACCTTTATTTAGCACTTTCTACTGGTGGTGGAGATTGTAAAAAAGCTACACTTGATGAACTGGAAAGGTGGCGATTCATGATCTCATCAAAGTCCGGACCCTTCCTCTTGTTGTGCCATGGCGTTTCTTCTGGTCCTGAACGCGCTTGCGCTGGCCTCCGAACTCGGCGTTAACATCGTCACCTGTTTTTTTCTTCTCAAAATCAAAATCGACTTGCACATTTTTAGGTAAGTCAATTGTTTCTCAGAATCAAAACCAACTTGCATCAATTTGGATAAGTTAAATTTTTTAAGGAGCATTCGGCCCTTTGGAACCACAAACAAAAAACGCATCAAATGCTTGTGCTTGGTCTCAAACATAATAGAAACTGACCCGATACCTGGGAGGACACAAGAAAAAACTGAATAAAAATGAAAAAAAATAAAAAATAAGGAAACAAATGAAGTTTTCTAAGAAATAATGAATTTAGAATTTTGGCTAGTCCTGTTTTTGACAAGAGGTTTGTGTATATATACGAAGTTTATTTAATCTTCATGTGGGCATGCTAATAAAAGGCATGGGCAGGCCTATACTATGTGTTACTTTCTATATGAACAACATAAAGTAAAAAACTAAAACAAACTAAAACATAATGAAGTCTTCTAGGCAAAAATAAAATAGTGGCAATGGTATTACCCTTTAAGAAAAAAATGAAACCAATAATGACAAACTTCGCACAAAATTTACAAAGAAACTGTGGCTTTTCATAATATGCAAGAATAACCATATGATGGTGAATATTTACAAAAAATACTTTTCTTAAGAAGGAATGAATTAGTGGCATTGGTATTTTGTCCTTAAAGAAGGAAGAAAATGGAATAGAAACTAAAAAAAATTAAAAAAAAATAAAGATTTATAAGGAAAAATGAAAAACAACCATCAAGAATAAATAAAATGAAAAACAAAATATAACAAAAAAATGTAAAGTTTGCACAAAATTTGCATAGAAATTCTGCTTTTTTCCCTATATGCAAGAACAAACATATAATAGTGAATTTTCAGCAAAATATGATTTATAAAAAAGAAATAAATTGGTGACACTAAATTGTAATAATGAAGTTTTCTAATGAAGAATTAATTAGTGACATTCGTATTACCCATTAGGAAGAGGAAAACTAAAAAATTAAAAATAATGAAAAATTTGCACATAATTTACACGGAAATTGTGTTTTTGTTATTGTATGCAAATATAACCATATAAGAGTGGAACCTCAAAAAGGAATGAATTTCTGACATTGCTATTACACTTAAAGAAGGAAGAAAATGAAATAAAAACTAAAAAAAAATCAAAAGAATGAAATTTTCTGTAGAATAATTAATTACTGGCATTGGTATTACTTTTTAAGAAGAAAGAACAGAAAATAAAAAAACCCTTAAAAAATACTTGCACACAACTTTGCAATAAAAAAAATTTTAATATGCAAAGAATAAGCATATAATTGTGTAATTTTCACACACTTAGTGATTTACACGCATACTACATAGTACTTGGTGTATACATTTCCACTAATCCAACATGCCCAAAATACCCTCCAACTAGCTGAAACCGCGACCCACTTGGTGTATAATGAAGAAAACCAACTAAAAATGAAAAGAAAAGGAAAAGTGCATAAAAAAGGCAATATGTAACGACTTCAGCCAATAGAAAAATAGACTTACCCTAAATTGTGACAAGTAAAAATTCAGCCCAAGAAAAAAAGCGACTTACCCCAAACAGGTGCAAGTCAAAAATCAGTCTAAGAAACCATGAAACAACAACAAAAAAACAACATGAATCTTGACAAAACAATCAATTGTCAGAAAATCGACTTATTTAACTTTAAAAATAAAGGCAACTTACATATAACAGTAGAAAAGGATTCAGAGAGATGTGCACCACTTTGGCAGCGCAATGAGCGAAGACTTTCCTATACAAGTAGTACATCATGAGATATCCTACTACATGGATGTTGTGTGTAATGACAGATTAGTTATATGCCACTCTGATAGACTGCGTAAGTTGAGATTCTAGCTTGATCGTACATGTTTTTTATTCGGTGATAGTTGATACTCGTGCAGGCCATGTATACGCGTGCAGAACATAGAAGGGCATCCAAATTCCAAAGACTTCACGACAGGCAATTAATGCACAGCTTTTATATTTGCAAGGTTACACACCTTCGTAGAGTTGTCGTCGAAATCTTCTGTCCGGCCACACATACATCCCACAAATTTCCAGAACTATCATCGGCTCATCAGCTAGTTGCAGTACAGTCCCTAATCTTTCGGTGATATTTTTCATGAGGATGGTACGTATGCCCATCCCAACTTTTATAGTTTTCACGTAGTTTTTTTTTCGGGGATTTTTTTTCCGCGTAGTATGTAGATAAGGTCAAAAATAGGCCGCGTCTGCTCTGCAGTGAAATGAGGGTAGTCATCAATTTGGAAATACACAAATTCAACAAAGAAGTTTTCTTCGGCTATAGATCGATTGATCTAATTACTGCTTTTAGAAAGCATCTATCCAAACTAAACTGCGTGATGGTGTGTGCAAAGAGAATACAATTAAGATATCCCCGCAAAAATAAAGGATAGAAATAATATACTCCCCCTGTTCCATAATTTAGTGTTATAGATTTTTTAAAAGTCAAACTTTGCAAACTTTGACCAACTTTATAGATAAAAATATTTATATCTACATACCAAATATATAAAATATGAAATTAATTCTTATAATGAATCTAATGATACATGCTTGGTATTGTAGATGTTTTTTTCCTACAATTTTCAAATTTGTGAGGTTTGACTAAAAAAAAACTATATGCACTACATTATGAAACGGAGTGAGCATCGTGAATGCAAGCGGCAGCAGGACTTATCCGGTCAAGAAGAAAGTTCATTGAGAGGCACGTAAAGCCCATGAACCATTAGCAACGACTTCCTTGAAACAGCCTGCTTTAGTAGCAGTCCGACTTCACCGCACGATGGCTACTCAGATCAGCGATCACACTGAAGCGACTCACAAAAAGGTGGTCAGGCATTCGAATTTTATACAACTAGTTTTTTTTTGTGGTCTCTCAAAAACACAGGAAAACATTTTCTTCAAATATTGTTTTATTTTAAAGTAAAGTTTTTCAGAAACTACTAACATAAATAAATTGTGACAGATAAATTAGATGTTATTTTTTTTGAAATTCCAAAAAAATATAGAAATTTTCAAATAAATAAAAGAGTGAAAATATTTAAAAATCCAAACATATTTTGGATTTTTTGAACATTTTTAAAATATGCTATCATTTTCTTAAAATTTTGAACATTTTCTGAAACATTGAATTTCTTTCAAAGTATTTGTTTTTCTGAAATGCACTTTTCCAAAATTTCCGTTTTTTTCTAACATGGATTTTTTAATGGTTTTGTAATTTTTAAAAATATATAAAGAAACAGAAAATATTAAAAAGAAAATAACCGGGTAAACCAGGAAGAAGAAAAAGGCAAGAGGGTCCCCAAACCGGACCTTGTACAACGTGTGCGTGCTCGCTAAATGGGCCAGCCCATAAAGGAGTTGCTACATGAGTATGTTGTGCATCTATTCGATAAATACATGCACATAGCATCCAATATGCATACTAGGGCAGG